AAGTGGAATCATACAATAATTGTCCTTTTTTGTCTGGTTTATTTCACTTAACATAATGTCTTCAAGGTTCATCCGTGTCGTAGCATGTGTCAGAATTTCCTTCCCAAATAATACTCTATTTTATGGATAAACCACATTTCAAAATTAAGATATAATTGACTTAGAACATTGTGTGAATTTAGGGTGTGCATGTCAAGTTGATACATTTAAATATTGCCTTATGAGCACCTCTGTAGCTTTAGTTAACGACTTTATCATGTCACATAACTATCACTTCTTTTTTTGTGTGGTGAGAAGAGATCTAGGCTCTTAGCAATTTTGAAGTATTTAGTACTATATTGTGGACTATAATCAATATGCTCTGCATTAGATCTCCAGAACTCACTCATCTATCAGTTGCAAATTTGTCCTCTTTCACATCTCCCCAATTCCCGCACTCCCTTGCCTCTGATAACCACCATATTTTACTCTGTTTCTATGAGTTTGGCTTTTTAAAGATCTCACATAGAAATGATATCATACAGTATTTGTCTTTCTCTGTCTGACTTATCTCACTAAGCATAATGCCCTCATGGTCTATTCATGTTGTCACAAATGGCAGGATTTCCTTCCTTCTAGTGTATACATGCCACATTTTCTTTATCCCTTCATCTGTTGGTAGGCACTTAGGTTGTTTCCTATCTTGGTTATTGTGAATAATGCTGCAGTGAACATGAGAGTGTAGATATCTTTTTGATATTCTGTTTTCATTTCCTTTGGCCATGTATCCAGAAGTGGGATTGCTGGATCCTATGGTGGTTGTACTTTTAATGTGGGGGAACCTCCAAACTGTTTTCCATAGTGGCTGAACCAACTTACATTCTCACCAACAGTCTACAAGGGTTCCCTTTTCTCTACGTTCTCCCCAACATTTGTTTTTTCCTGTTTTCTTGATAATAGCCCTTCTAACAGATGTGCAGCAATATCTCATTTTTGGTTTTGATTCTCTCATGACTAGTGATGTTGAGCACCTTTTCATGTACTTGTTGACCATTTGGATATTTTCTTTGGAAAAATGTCTATTCAATTCCTCTGTCCATTTTTTAAAATTGCATTACTTGTTTTTGTCGTTGGTGTTGCTATTGAGTGGTATGAGTTCTTTATTTTGGATATTAACCCCTTATCCATTATATGGTCTGCAAATATTTTCTCCCATTCCATAGGTTGCCCTTTCATTTTATTTACTGTTTCTTTTGCTGTGCAGAAGCTTTTTAGTTTGATGTAGTCACACTTGTTTTTTTGCTTTTGTTGCTTGTGCTTTTGGTGTTGTATCCAAAAAATCATTGCCAAGACCAGTGTCAAGGAGATTTTTCCTTATGTTTTCTTCTAGGAGTTTTACCTTATCAGGTCTTACATTTAGGTCTTTAATCCATTTTGAGTTAATTTTTGTGACTGGTGTAAGATTGAGGTCCAATTTCATTTTTCTGCATGTGGTTATCCAGCTTGCTCAACACCATTTGCTGAAGAGACTGTCCTTTCCCCATGAGTATTTGCTCCCCTGTGAGATGTTAGTTGACTGTATATGTGGGGATTTATTTCTGGGCACTGGATTCTGTTTCTTTGGTCTATGTGTCTACTTTTATGCCAGTATTATACTGTTTGAATTACTATAGCTTTGTAGTATAGTTTGAAATCAGGAAGTGTGATGCTCTGGCTTTGTTTTTCTTTCTCAGGATTGCTTTGGCTATTTGGGGTCTTTTGTGGTTCCATGAAAACTTTAGGGTTGTTTGCTCTATTTCTGTGAAAAATGCCACTGGAATTTTGATAGGGATTGCATTGAATCTATAGATGGTTTTGGGTAGTATGGACATTTTAACAATATTAATTTTTCTAATGCATGAACATGGGATATCTTTCCATTTATTTGTGTCTTGTTCAGTTTCTTTCACCAAGATCTTGTAGTTTTCACTGTTCAATCTTTTATTTCCTTGGTTAAATTTATTCCTCAGTATTTTATTGTTTTTGATGCTGTTGTAAATGGGATAATCTTTATTTCTTTTTCAGATAATTCATTGTTAGTGTATAGCAATGCAACTAATTTTTTTTTTTTTTTGGCTGCGTTGGGTCTTGCTGCATGAGGACTTTCTCTAGTTGCGGGAGCAGGGGCTACTCTTCGTTGTGGTGCGCGGGCTTCTCATTGCAGTGGCTTGTCTTTTTGTGGAGCATGGGCTCTAGGGTGCGCAGGCTTCAGTAGTTGTGGCACACGGGCTCAGTAGTTGTGGCACATGGACTCAGTAGTTGTGGCTCACAGGCTCTAGAGCGCAGGCTCAGTAGTTGTGGCGCACGGGCTTAGTTGCTCTGTGGCGTGTGGGATCCTCCCGGACCAGGGCTCGAACCCGTGTCCCCCACATTGGCAGGCGGATTCTTAACCACTGCGCCACCAGGGAAGTCCCTGTGTGTTGATTTTTATATCCTGCATTTATTGATTACTGAATTCATAGATTAGTTCTAATGGCTTTTTGGTTGAGTCTTTAGGAATATATATATATATATTTATATGATATTTATATATATATATATTTTTTGTATATATATGATATTTTTAATCATATCATCTACAAAGAAGGACAGTTTTACTTACTCCTTTCTGATTTGGATGCCTTTTATTTTTTGTCTTGCCTCATTGCTCTAGCTAGGACTTCCAGTACTATGTTGAATTAGAATGGTAAGAGTGGGCATTCTTTTCTTGTTCCTGATCTTAGACAAAAAGCTTTTGATCTTTCACCATTGAGTATGATGTTAGCTGTGGGTGTATCATATATGGCCGTTATTATGTTGAGCGGTTTCCCTTCTATACCCAATTTGTTGAGGATTTTTAATCATGAAAGGATGTTGTATTTTGTAAAATGCTTTTTCTGCATCTACTGAGATGATCATATGGTTTTTATCTTTCGTTCCATTAATGCGGTATTGATATATCACATTTATTGATGTGTTTGAAGAACCGTCCCTGTATCCCAGGGATAAATCCCACTTGGTCAGGGTGTATAATCCCTTTAATGTGTTGTTGAATTCAGTTTGCTAATACTTTATTGAGAATTTTTGCATTTATATTCATCAGGCATATTGGTCTGTAGTTTTATTGTTGTTGTTGGTTTGTTTGTAGTGTCCTTATCTGGCTTTGATATCAGGGTAATGCTGGCCTTGTAAAAATGAGTTTGGGAATGTTTCCTCCTTTTATATTTTTTGGAAGAGTTTGAGAGGGAGTGACCTTAATTCTTATTTAAATATGTGGTGGAATTCACTCACCAGTGAAGCCATCTGGCCCTGGGCTTTTCTATGTTGGGAGGTTTTTGATTACTGATTCAGTTTCCTTATTGGTAGGAAGTCAATAAGATCTAACAAATGAATGAATGATGCTCAAATGTTATCCACCTTTGTGTTTACTGGATATCCTTTTAAAAGGCTCTAGATTAGGCTTCTTTTGAATAACTCAGTATTTGTTTTCCTGGGGTAGAGTGTTCTAGTACAATGATACGTTTATAAGTGTTACAGACCTTATAAATGGACGGAGACAAGGTATAAAAAATAATGATATTGTATTGGGAGGTGAAAGAAGGCAGAGATAGACTATAGACAAAATTATAAACGGAAATTTGTCTCCTTCTAATTTGACTGTATTGTCTCTAAAGTGGTATTGTGTAAAACATCAGAAAAATTTCTGCATTGATAACCTAGACTTATTAAGGAGTAATAAAAAATCCTTTGACTATAACAGTGGAGCTTAAATGGGCCAGTTATAATCAAAATGAGAGAAACAAACTAAATCATCCCTATTTTCTAAAATAAGAACACTTCATTGTCCCTTCTGTGCAACTATTTATTGATTTGTACTGTGGTCAGGCTACTACTTTAGCAGTCTCTGTCTTTGTCTGAGACACAAATTAGGGTTTTTAAGATAGCAAGGACTTCAAAACATTATTACAATGTAGGGGACCCAGTCCTTTCTCTTGTAAGCAAGGAAACCTGACTCTGAGAAGTAAGATGATGTCCGGAAGCGGTTTTTTAGCCTCTGTCTTTGTTGGACTCGTTTTCCTTGTCTTGGATTTTAGTAAGGATATAATCTCAGTTCCAGTTAGAAAGCGGGATCACAATGCCAGGTGTCAAATCCACAAATCAATCCTGTCCTTAATTGCTGAAGTTTGACATGTCCTCATGTTTGTCCCAGAAAACTCTAAGCATTCTCTTATTAGCAATAGAGAATTAAATTTCCTACGTAGACAAATTAACTTCTGAATTATATGAGAAACAAACAAAAACACCACCAGAGAGAGAGCGAGAGACACTTTCTTATTTCCATCTTAAAGTTTTCTCAAACTAATTTCTCTCCCTTTCCCTTTCTCCATATTTTTCATAGACTTTATTTAACTGTTTGAATTCACCATCTAGTTACTACCTTCTCTGAAGAATAGATTTTGGTCAGCAACTCTTTAAAAAATTAACTTACTATCCTAATTAAAGTGGAACAGGTCAAAATAGACTACTGCAGTGAAGGGTGTTTTAAGCCATGTAGGTATTATGTTTGGGCAATTCTTGAAAAGGGGAAAAAACTCTTCAGGGAGATTTAAAACTTTAGTTTTAAACAAGAGACTTTCTTAAAAAAAAATGAAATGATGTGAATTGGCTTAGAATAAAAAGACAATAGACTAAGGAAGGAAAAGAATGTATTTTGTAGATAAAGCCAAATTCATGGCCTTGTGCATTAAATTTTACACAGTAAAACCTTACACTGGGTTTAAAGCTCAATATCTTTCTCCTGCCTGAAACCGGTGATTGCATACCCTGGTTTTTCACATACCCCTTCCCCAGTCTACTCCCAGTGTTTCCAGTTGTCTCCTAAGTGACAAAATAGCCTCCAAATAAGTTTAATTTTGAATCTAAAATAAATATACCCAATACATCTTTCTCTCTCTTTTTTTAATAGAAAAGGGAGGATGAGGCAGAGAAGACAAAATGGTAAATACAGTTAAAGATCATTTTAATTCTCATCTAAGTCTTAAGCTAGCAAGTTAAAACACCTTATACATAAGGCAGAGAAAAACTGTCCGTTTGACATCACTTCCATTCACACTGCTCCCTACGCATGGGAAAGACCAGATGTCTGGTTTCAAGAGTATTGGGCTTTTTCCTGAGTACTTAGTAAAATTAATTTTTTGAAGTTCAGAGAAAAACTGCAGCTCCTTCTGAACTTTAGCATTTTATGGTTTAATAATACTCAATATCATACACAAGAAGTGTTCAGCAGAAAATGATCTTTGAATATGTATGCATTTGCAACAATCCAAGAAAGGCTATGAAAAATTCTTGGAACAGGGTTTATTTTGAAAACCCCGTTATTCTAAAAAAAACAAAAAACAAATTCATAGTTTTCATAAAGATTAGTGGGTACAATGTAGTGTATGGTAAGGGCACTGAATAGGGAGGAAAAAGTCTCAGTAGATGACATTTCTTTCTCGTTGTCTGATTCCTACTAATTATGTACAAAATGTACATTAGATACTGTATTTCTCTCCTCCTTACAGAAAACAATATTTGGAAATTCCTACGTAAAGCTAATTTGCCATGAGGAATATAATGCCCTTCAATGGGGTATCTAGGTCTCTTCGGGATTGTTTTTTTCTTTAAACATACACCATGTGGTGCAATCTGTTCCATTCTACAAGAAGGGGGCTGGGGGAAAACTCTGGGTGGGCCAGGAATAAAGTCCCCTCTGGGAGTTTTTGAGGTACTAACTAGAAATGGGGGAAATGGTACAACTGAAGCCTAGAAATAGCTTCCCTTCTGCCCTAAATCATAAGCCAGGTTACATTAAACTTAAGGGTTTAAAAAAAAATAAGATTTAGCAAGTTAGTCAATTTAGGGGAGAAAAAAACCTGAACCTTTCCTGAGATGGTTAAATTGCTATTCATTTTGTATTTTAATCTAACCTACTGGTGCTTTAATTTACAGAACTCAAAGGAAGCGTAATGCTCAAATATTTGAGGACGGCTCATGTATCAACCACTGTTTAATTTTGGAATATGCCTACTTGCTTGACACAATATTTTACCATCTCAACAAATGTTTAGCCTTTTTTTCACTTGACTAAAGAGAAATAAGTTTCACATCGCTTCATTCACCTTCTTATGTGCATATGCTGGGAAAGATTGGATGTTAAAAAAAAAAAAAAAAAAAAACTTCCTCATGTTCTCTCTACTACATCTAAATCTGTTTACCAATTCAAAGCTGCTAAAAAGCCCTGCATTCTCCTGCTAAATCAACTGGATGGCTAGAAACCAAACTGTAATGTAACAGGAGAAAAAAAAATATATCAATTTATTTTCGTGACAGAACAGTCTTGAGAAGGTATAAAACGGTTTTGGTCCCTATGCCAGTTTTCTTTTTTCTTTCTTTCTCTGTCTTCCTTTTTAAAGCGCTTTTGGCTTTTAAGCCAATCCTTTTTATAGTTATATAACAGTTCTAATATTTTGTGACATTTTGTATTGTGACACTATAGATGAAATTGTCATCGGACTGACACTCTGTGCTGTTTATTCCTTAATTACAACTGTTAACACTGTAGAGAAGTGTGCTCATCTGCCAGCACATGCTATGAAAACAACATTATTGTTACCCACACCAACACCCACTCAACAGGATATTTCCAAGATGGTAGTTTAAAGGAACTTATCAGCACAATGGACTTTTTTTTTTTTAGCTTGTCCTATTGTCGTCTTATAAAACCACAAACCAGTTTAAAATTGAAAATCTTTCATTGTGATGTGGACTCGTAAGCAGGAGCTGCTTTTATAATTAGAAAAATCAGAATTTTTTTTTTGAGCACTCCAGCAGTGGTGGATTGAGGAATCCCAAAGCTATTGAGGGTTGTGGCCCAAAAGTTTCTGACTGACAGTTGTTTGAGAAATAAAGAAAATAGAAGGGACAGGGAAGGATAGATTTAAAGATGAAAAGATGAGAGAAGAGTTACTTGTGTTCACAGGGTTGGCAATCTTTAAATAACCAGGTCAAAATCCAGCGACCATTCCCAGCTCTAATAGGTGTCCTTTTTCAGAACCCAGTCTGAGCCCTCCTGAAACTGGCTACTTATTGAATGCTTGGTAGTTTAGTTCTTGCTTCGAGAATTTTTACAGGTCCAGTGATCTATGAGGGACAAAATCCTATGAATCTATTTCCTGATCAATATTATTATACTAAGCGACTGTCACTGTCTTTTCATTTGTTAGAAAGCTAAAAGAGTGAGCAAACAACCACTTGGATCCTGAGCCTTATCCCCATAACAAAATAACTGAAAAGTAAAGATTATAGAAGATGTAAAATCAGAACTACTGGTATTCACTGTTTAGGTGATAGTGACAGTAAATGACTTTTTTTTTTTTTTTTTTTTTAACGGCACACAACACTCATTTAGCAGCTTTTTTAATCAACAGTCCACCTTTCAGTATCAGTTTTTAAGACTTCCATGGGTTTGGTAGAAAGCAAATTCATGACACTGAAAGAGTAGTAGGTCTCCCAGTGATGGCCTGAAAGTTCCAAGTAGATTCTCAAATCTTCATTGTCATTGAGGAAGTAATGAGACAATGTGAACATGTCTGATTCCTAAAGTTCCTGCAGTGATCTGCATATTCTTTAACACTCAGCTTTCCTAAATAGGTTTTTCAAATAGTATGTGAAGAAGCTATTGCTGCACCTCCTTTTGAATGGTATCTTCTGCTTCATTTGGATTTTCAACACCAATAGGATAGGGTGCTCTTCCTAAAAGAAACTGTTCCCATTTGGGAATATATTCTTCTACTGATGCCCAGTAAAGAGTCTGGAAAAAAAACCAACATCCAAAAGTAAAAAAGCATATCAAGCAATTGAACTTGGCTCTTCATAATAGTCTAAATGTTTATTCACTTAAGTGTGTGTGTGCGTACACACACACACACACACACACACTCACACATATACGTAGAATGCACTTCCTCTACAGAATATTTTATGTTAATTTTAGAAAAAAATCTGGCTACTTACTAGTGTTAATTTTCAAATTTCTCAGTAAAACTAGAGCCTGGCAGAATTACAGGTTTTACAATTTTATTGTGATTTTACACGCCCTCTTGTGGCCAATCTTGTGATTATTACCAGTAGTATCATTTATGGCTACACAATCATTAAAAGTTTTTGTTTACTGTTCCCAATCCCATACTAAATGACTGCCCATACTAAAATTATCACAGTGAAATGATTCAACATGAACAACTGCTTTAGAACTAACAGAAAAAGATGTGACCTGGATGAGATCAGCACCTGAAATATAAGGGGCATGCTAGAGGACTCAGGTGAACTGACCCCTTAATTGTAGGGGGGAAAAACATTTAAAGTTATGCATCCGCAAAATTATGCACCCGCTATATCTTTTAGAAGAGCACCTGATATGGCAAACTGTAACTTCTTCCCACATTTTTTTGGATAATAACAATAATATCAACATCATCTAGCTATTTTTTTTCTTCATCTAGCTATTTTTAATTCAAGTAACTTGGAAGTTGAGACGCTGTGTTCCTAGACTGACTGTAGCAGTCTGTAAGCTGTAGAAGCTCACACTGCATTGCTGTACGGCATCTACACGCTTGCATGGTTTCCTGGCTGACTGCCCTAAGGAGGCCAGAGAAAAGTCAGATGCCAGAAGCTCTGTGTCACAGGAGGGCATTTGATATGAGATCTTCACTATCCAGCTCATTTTCAGAATCAGTCAAAGAGTTAGATAGCATTGGGGAGCCATAATTATTCACACTGAGCATTAAAAAGGTAGGGGGTGGGGGCAATTCCCCGCCAGTCAAGCGATTAGGACTCAGCACTGCCACTGCGGTGGGCTCGGGTTCGATCCCTGGTCAGGGGACTAAGATCCCACAAGCTGCCTGGTGCAGCCAAAAAGTAAAAACTAAAACATAAAAAAAAAAAATAAGATGCTATTATTAAAAAAAAAAAGTATGAGGGCTCTGAAAGCTGAAAATGATGAGGGGTTCCATGTATCTATGCATCTATGCATGTGGTCTGAGAAGTAGCCTGACATACTTAAAATAAAGGTCATCCTGCTGTGCGAGACTAGCTAAGAAAAATACCAACCAAGGCCTGTGGTTGGGTGTTTCTCCGCCATTCACGGCTGGATTAACCCCTATTGTGTGGGCCCTGTACGGGCCAGAGTAAGGTATTGGAAAATTCAACAAAGAAAAAGACATGGCCAAGGCGCAACTTTGAACGGGAGTTCTTTCTATCCTTGATCACTGCCTTTCCTTATTACTCTAGATGACACAGAAAATTGCAGGGCAAATTCTCAGCCTTTAATTTTTGAGTCTATTCACATCACTGGTTAGGAAGCAAACAAAAACTGTATTGAAAAAAGGTCATTAAAAATATAAAATCAAACTATTCTATATGTAGCAAATTCCCTTTCAGCACACATACATTCATACACCAAATACGGTTTATTTTTGCCAACCATCTTCCCAATCTGTTCTTGAACTGAGCAAAATCAAACAGACAAAAGCCACGCTATACTGCATGATAATATGCATTTAAATAGCGTTGGTTGCATTTTTGGTGAAGAGACTGAGCTGCTACTTCTAACATCAGCCAACAGGAAAAGCATTTTGGTTAGGCTGTCATCTTAAGATTTCGTGCATATTGTCTGTTAGGATTTAACAAGAGTCGTTTCTAAGTGACTCGGTGAAAAGACACAAGGTCCTGATAAAATTTTCACTTGATGTAAAATTTTTTTAAAACCCAGATACTTACAGATTACCCACTACATACAAAGCATGGCACTGTGGACATAGAGAGATCAGTGAGACACATCTCATTTATTTTACTGAATGAAGGAATCTGGGATATATACATACACAGCCACTTACAATGCACTACTAACTGAAGAGCCTCTCTTCTTTTTTTTTTTTTTTTTTGAGGGTCTCTTCTTTCACATTTGTTCCTTAAGATTCTCACCTCAAGAGAAGCCACCTCAGGCGGTGGAACTGGATGATTCTGGGTCTGTAGAGACTTCTCTGCCGCTTCTATATCCTGTAACAGAAGCATTTTCAAAACAAAATGTATTTAAACCACACACACAAATGGCACCTGTAATAGCAATATCTGTATCCCAGATCTCTCGCTTCAACTCTCCTCTGGATATACAGTTTGAACTGATGCGCAGGCACTGACAGATCACTGCTTAATTAACCGGTTTCAAAGAGAGGATGCAGGGTTTCTTATTTTAAAATAAAAGGCAGGGATGGGGGTGGTACTTCTAAGTTCTGCCTTTTTCATTTTAAGTAGCTAGGAAATGCCAATAATTCTTGGAAAAAGAACTTCCTCTAAACTGCTCAGAGTACTAACTTAGCTTTAAAATCCTTTAAAAACAGCCAGATGGATAAAATAGTCAAATATTCCGATACGAAAAACAATCAGATACTCGGACCCATGCTAGGCTGACCTTCAAAGAGTTCTAGTCTGCCCAGATAATGCAAATGGTATATGAATGACACAGAGTACATTTGTTCAATATTCCATTTTTTAATTTTATACTTAGGCAAATACTTCCCATATTGAAAAGGTCCATGAGGTACCTGAGTACTTTGCAACAAGAACCTTTCACTATGCTATCTAGATTTTTAGTATCAGATTGCTAAGCTAATCTCAAAGGCAAGTTTTATAGCTAGGTAGTATTGATACATCCTTCAGCTGATGGCATTCAAGTATCGTGCGGTACTTTGTAGTTGAACTTGTAGATGTTTGTGTTTTCTCTTACGTTTATAGAAACAAAAGTGTACTTAAGGTTGATTCATACGTCAGTAAAGATTTTATCTAGATCTGTACATAAAGTTCACACCCAGAAATGTGAGACTTTGCAAGTTGTTAACAGAAATATTCGAGCCCTATTAAATAAATACTCCCCAAATCAGCACCTGTGTTGCCTTGTGCTTCCTTAGGTTTGTCAAGTTTCCAGGGTGTTGGTTGAAGGCCATGTGAATTTTGTTTCTCCTTTGAGCTTAGTGAGTTGAGAGAAGAGAGAAAGTTCTCTGCTCCATGTACAAGCACTGGAGTGATCTAAGTACAGGGCTGTTGGACAGAAGGAGAGCGATGGAAAAGGGCGTGGGAGTGGGGTGTGAAGAAGCCAACGCTGAACAGGAGAAAAGAGATAGCAGATGGCAGCGGCGGGAGCAAGGAATGGGTGTGAAATGGAAAAGGGAAAAACAGGAAACTCCCTAAAGGGACTCCCCAAAGTTGCACAACCAGTAATGCACCTGCTGTCTAGAGGAAGGTGATTTGAAGGGGAAAGACAACAATTTAGGGATAAAATGCCCATCTATAAGCATGTCTCTCCCATACCAGAAGTTCACGGCCAAGACTCAGGCTTAAAGAGCTCTTGATGCCGATGATACGACAGACATGGGAGACCAAGTCTTCTGATTACATTGAAATTTAAGAAGGTCCTGGAAGAACCACTTTTTACTTCTAGAAATCAAACAATAAAAATCAGAACCCCAATTTTACCATTATTCTAAGAACAGTTACAAAGTTATCTTTACTGGGAGATCTGGGTGCCACTAGCACCTACAGGCAAGATTAAACATTTTTCTTAAAGATCAGAAAATAAGGATACTGAATATCTCGTAGAGAAGAGCAGATCTGCAACACAAAGAGCAGGAGATGAGTTTAGGAGGAGGGACGTGTGGCCTGGAAAAGCAGGCCTAAGTCAGCCTCACCTAACTGTCCCCTCTGCAGCATTTCAACAAAGGATTATTACCCCTCCAGAGAACTTCTTCCTTAGCTTAAGTCATATTTCACTTTCTTAGGTGTTTCACTTACCTCTCGGACTCCTTCTCCTCAGCTGGCTCCTTTTTCTCTGGTTTAGTCCTCAGGGTGGGCTTTCTTAAGATTTGTGACATCTGTCCCCATCTTTTTAAGTTTTCTCTCTCCAAGACTGTCGCTGATCTAGCTTTAATTATTACTGAGGAGGGATGGCTAACTTTTCTTCCTAGCCCTTATTTCTCAACCTGATAAAACTAAACTCATCTTTTTCCACTGAATGTATAATAGTGGGAATTCTACCCACTCAGATACCTATGCTGTATCCTCGAACTCCAACTGTTCTTATTCCTGCCATTGAAAAATTCAAAGTTCCCTGTATTGTTCCATCAGGATGTCTCCTCGAGCTCTTCCATGTCATTCTCAATGCTGTTTCATTCAACAAATACTTCATACTTACTTGTACTCATGCCTAGGCCATATCTCACTTTAGTTCAATCCGTACCTAACATGGAACTGATTAGTTTTGCTAAAAAGTACCTTAAATATGTCATCCCCTAGATTAAAAAAAAAAAAAATTGGTACTCACAACACAGAGGATCAAACATGCCTTCCTTAGCCTGACCCCAAATCTTGGCAGTTTGACCCCAGCCTTCTATAGCAAGTTAAATCTTAGTACTTCCATATAAGAGCCTTCCTTTACAGTATATGCTGCCCGAAGGTAAGGGCTGTGTCTCATACAACCTTTAAGAATCTGAGAATCTAACAAAGTGCAGGGTATGTACTAGGTACTTAAATATTCATTAAATAAATACAGAATGAGGTATCAAATTTTCCTGAGTATAAACCAAAAACTTAAAAAAAAATTTTTTTTACAAAGCACCCAAGGGGGTAGGGGGAGAAAAGGAAAAAAGAGGAGAGGAAGAAAGGCTAGTTGGCCAGCTTTACCTGTACCTTGTTGCCTTGTTGTATAGATTTGTCACTAGACCATTTAAAATTTTATATAGTTAGAGAACAAATGAAAAAGCAACCCCTACAAATTTGAACATAAAATGAAGCAAACGTAACTGCTATCTAGTGGTGGCATAACCACATGGAGAAGAATTACATCAAGTGGTCTTAGAACACAGTATTCTGACTGAGCATCCCTAGTGAGATACACCCTAATGACAAAAAGGATTGTAAAAAGGATGTTACTGAAAACCATTCTCAGTAATCACATGGGTGGTGACAGTGCTGTCTGTATCACAGGATACATTGGTATTGGAAAATTCTTTGGGAACAGATTTTTGGTTTGAGGAAAAGAAGTTAGAGGTACAAGATCCATGAGTTTTTAAGTTAAAAGTCTTGCAAACTGGAATTCTGGAATTTTTGATATGAGCTCCTGATGTATTTTATCTTAAAAAAAAAAAGTTGCAATAAACCCCACTAGTGCCCAGATAGAGGGCTCTGAACATATTTCCTACCAAAAGGATCCAGGGCTCCTTGGAACAATGGCCAACTCCAGGTCTAAGCAGCAAATGCACATGAGGAGCCTGGAAGATTGCATCAGACCAGAAAGGAAGGAAACTGTCAGACTGTTAAGATGCCATCAGAAGCACTCAGGAGCTAATCTGACAAGGTTCGCACTTGGTAAAATTGGGACAAGTTGAGAATAAGTAGGAATGGAAATGGATTGAAAAATTTCAAATCCCAGACAGCTCAAAAACAAACAAAAAAGCAACCAAAACCAACAACACCTAATTGGCCACTTTTGGAAGATACTAGAGAACCAACCTATTATTTTGAAAACTAAGTAGAATCAAGCATTCATCATGCTTTTTCCTCTGTGAAATATACCTCAGTGTAACCAAATAATTGATGAAGGGAAGTTTATCAATATAAATAATTAGCAGTTGAATGAGAAGGAATAAAATAATTGAATATTGCTTTTTGCAACCCCTAATGAATATACTTAGGCAATGATCATCAACAACTAACATTCCAAAACGAGAGAGAGAGCCTGGCATTACAGAAGTGTTCTTCCCCAAAACATCGAACGTCAATCTGATCAGGCCTCTGTAATCTGCACTGATAGTGGAGTATTCCTTAGCCTTATGTGGCTGCTGAGCCCTCGAAATGTACAAGTCTGACTTAAGATGTGCTGTAGGCACACAATACACACTGAATTTTGAAGGTCTAGTAAGAAAGAAGAATATAAGATATTTACTAACCTTTAATAGCAGTTACATTTGAAATATTTTGTTTGAAATTTTAATAATATGTAATCTGTTTAGGTTGACGTTATTAAAAATGGTTCGTAGGAAATTTAAAATTACATATGTGGCTTGAATTATATTTCTGTTGCACAGCACAACTTAGATCTGTCAATTATAGGAATGAGGGGGAAGAGAGGAATGTGTTAAATGGGTACCTCAGTGATAGAATTAGCAATATCTAGAAACTCGACAGGACAAATGACCCAGTTCCTTTAACAAATATATGAAAAGGGGGGAAAAAACGGGCAGGGAGTACTTTTAGAAATTTAGGAGGTGTATCAATTACAAATTGGATTTTATTTGGAACCTGATTGGATATTTGAGGATTTATTGTTAATTTCTTAGGTTGATACTGATACTTTGATTTTGCTTAAAATAGTGCTGATCTTTTAGTGATAAATATTGAAATATAGAAAGAGATATACTGAGGGACTTCCCTGGTGGTGCAGTGGTTAAGAATCTGCCTGCCAGTGCAGGGGACATGGGTTTGAGCCCTGGTGCGGGAAGATCCCACATGCCGCAGAGCATCTAAGCCCGTGCGCCACAACTACTGAGCCTGCATTCTAAAGCCCGTGAGCCACAAATACTGAGCCCGCATGCTGCAACTACTGAAGCCCGTGAGCCTAGAGCCTGTGCTGCTCAACAAGAGAAGCCACCGCAATGAAGAGCAGCCCCCGCTCGCTGCAACTAGAGAAGGCCTGCACGCAGCCACTAAGACCCAATGCAGCCAAAAAAAAAAAGAGATATACTGAAATATTTACAGATGAAACAATGCAATGTCTGAGGATTAGCTTCAAAATGATCTTAAGGGGTGGGAGTGAGAAGTATAGACAAAACAAGGCTAGCTGTGTTCCGATGATTGAATCTGGGTGATAAGTGCATGGAAATACATTCTTCTATTCCTTCTTTCACACAGGTGTGAAATTTTTATAGCAATTAAAAAACACGCTTCCAGTGTGCGTGATGGTATAAGTGTCACTCTCTGGCGTGAATCTTTAATCTGCTGTGGGATGCTCCCATTCTTCCTCATGCCAGAGTGTTCGTCCATCCTCCTCACGAGAGGATGTTTGTTACCACAAAGCCGCCTTTTTGGGTTAAACTAAATTTTGTGGAGGGAAAGATGGGAGAGGTGGCACTTTATATCATGAAAGTATCTGTAAAAATAAAATCCTCTGTCTTTCAAATCCATTATGATTTTGCTAAATTTCATTGTATTAATGCTAATTGAAAAAATCCCTGAGCCTGTTTTCAAAGGCCGCTACCGTCTATATTTACTGAGTAAACCTTCACTGTGAGTTTTCTTTACTGCTTAGATTCCTATTCATTCTTTTACTAATATGTTTGATGGAATTAGTCTCTTTCTTATTGCTCCCCTTTTAAAATCATGCTTTGATATTTGTGACAACTGACTTAGAAAAATAATAGTCTCCCCAGGCAGGATTAAGGCGTATGTCTCCATTTAAATTTTCTCTTACAGCTCCCACTGAAGTGTAATAATTGTCTTAATACCATTCATGCAGATCCCTTGTTAAAAGCATTCCCAATTATATATTTTATAGTTTTATTGCTAATATGAATGTGGTGTCTATTTTCCAGCTGTATATATACAGGATTGCTGTTGTGTTTTATGTTTACATTTTATCCATTAATTTTACTCAACTCATACCAGTTTTGAAACAACTTTGGCTTCTCTAAGTATAAAACTACATCATTGAAAGATGCTAGTGTTGTATCTTTCTTTCTGAAAGTTAAAGCTCATGCCCTTTTTAGTGTTTATGATATTGTTCAGAATATGTGAGTAAGGTCAAATAATGGACGGTGATACAGTCATCCCTATTTTGTTACTATCTTATAGGAATGCTGCCAGGTTTTAATGGTACCATTTTCAAGTGCACTCCGTACTTAAGTACCTATCCTGCTATAACTTAACCTGTTCTTGACAAAGGGGTATTAGGAGTAGTTACCTTATGGTTTCCTCATCTCTAAATTAAGGGATTAGCCCAGATCATTGGTTTTCACAGTTCCTTAGAGCCACAGCAGTGCAGGCAAGAAAGGGCTGAATGGATAGGGCTTTGGGCCAAAGCAGGTCCACTTTTATCTATTTTATATCTTTGGGAAAAGTTTTTATGCTTAAAAAAAAAAAAGACCTTTAGATAAGAATCTAAGCTATATGCTTTTTAAAGTCTCTCCCAACTCAAATTGTGTAAGCAAGTCCTATTTATTTTACTGTCACGATAACTTCTATGAGAGCGCCACTAAGATTATACCCAAAGTTAAAGAAAATAATATGCGGGAAAGAAGGACAAAAAATTGCATATCCAGTATTCAAAGTATGTTTAAAAGAAAAACGGGGAAAAACTGCGTCTCTAACAGCAAGCACTGTATCTGGGATGTAAGAGATAGTTGAAAAATGTTTATAAAAAGATTGAAAGGAAATACACAAAAATATTCTAATTTCTAAATGGGCAGATGATATAGAAGGTATTCTTTTTCATCTTTGCTCTTTCAAGTTTTTTTATAGTGAGAATATATTACTTTGATAATTCAGGGAAAGAACACCATACCAAACTGGTGTCTAATGACTATGAAACTAGGTTCATTATCTTCCTTCTATATATGACAAGGAGCTACCTTCCTTAAATTCAATCTCTCCATTATTGAAATCACTTTGCATCTAAATAGCAAATGACTCTTTCTTAAAGACCCATTCATATGTTTCTTATATAAGTCTCTCTCTCTCTCTTTCTTTTTTTTTTTTTTTTTTGGCTCACTTTCAATATTATATTATCTCTACATACCAAGTCTCAACTTCTTCATCTGGTCTCAGAATACATATTCAGCCTTGTTTCCTGTGACTTTCCAAGCTAGTTAGCTTAGGATCCCATGAACATTATTAGTAAGGCCATTCGTTCTTCTTCTGGTCTTGAATCTCCCTTAAAAATTCAATGGCATGCCTTCCCATCTGCCTACTGAAATGCAGCTCCAGCTTAGCTTCCTCTCTGAGACCTCATAGCATATTCTAGCTTTCAAAGAGTTTTTACACTTACTCCTAAAGTGCTGAGTATTCCACATAATTTAATTAATGTTTGATCATACAAGGTCTCTATTTTGTGTGTGACAACCTTATGTCATCAACTGAGCCTGTAAGCTACTTGATCTAAAGAATTCTAACTTATACTTACTTTATTATCCTCACTTTCTGCCCAGAACTAGCTCAATAGTAAGGACCCTCTGGGCATTCATCAAATACTTTCTCATTAAAAGGAAGACACTTAATATTACCTGTACTTGCTGTAATAAGTAGCAAACAAGCCTTCAAGACTTCCAATTTAGATTTTCTGACTTTTCCGTGCAAATTCTAGATTACCCTATATATTTCCACTTAAAAATAAATATTGCAAACACCATTGGGCAAGTAAGACATATGGCAATATAGAATGCTTTGGTAGCACTATGGCTGTGACTTAAATTACTGTGGATCAAACTGCCAGAAGCTGAGAAGATAACTGAATTTTCCTCTTCCTTTATCCTCTAGTGAGGACAGAAGAGAACTACATCATGCCTATCGATGAAAATATTTAACAATAAAAAACTGAAAACACTGCTTTATAACTTAAATAATATAGCCTTACTACCAAATGTTTTAGTCATAGGATCTCTTGGAAGCTTGAATGGAAGCAAACTTTAGGGTTTTAATTATGGATGAAGCCATACAATTCTGGAAGCAAAGTATAGCAAGCAGCCAAAAATGTTACACATATGATTTTACTCCAAATGGGCACACTGGCCAAATGGTGAGGCCTTGCGCAATCACATACTTTGACCACCTCCTCCATCACCATCAAAAAAGATCAGGGAAATCTGTTATCTTAGATATGAATTCTGTGTGTTGACTGTGGCCCCAGTAGGGCAAAATCAAATTGTTTTAAATACATGATAGGTGCTTTATCGTGTTTCAGGATCTCCCTACGAATAAAAGAAGATGGAAGATAGAAGCTATGTCTTGTATTTATTCTTGCACAAAGGTGACCTTAAAATTCTTCCTGTGGTGACTGATTTTTCCTTAGCCTAAGCAAACTTCAAGTATTTTCATTTTAAAAAATGAGGATCCGTGCTTCTGGTCCAATTAACATGGGTTTAAAAAATAGACAGTACCTCATTAATTCTTTCTGTAACTCAAAACGAAGAAATTACAAAAATCAAAGTTATGAAGTTGACCTAAAACGTTTTTGCAACATGGGGAAAATATATTTAATTCAGAGAATCTTACCTTTAAAAGACTAAGGTTCCTTTGTAAAGCAGTCTCAGCTGTTTGCATCTGAGGGGTCTTTTCCTTGTTTTGATCTCCAAGTTTATTCTCCATTTGTTGAAGTAACATTAATCTTTGTGATACTCTAGAGAAAATGAAGATTATATAAAGTTTAAAGAAACATTTTATTGCTTGACCAATACACTGATAAATAACTCATTTTTAATTGCACCTCCCTTCAAGTTCAACCTGTTTTGAAAGCCAATTACTATGTCAATTAATAAGACAATGAAAACCTTAGGTAGTTCAGTACGTCTTAAGTCTTGGTAAAATTATTTTTATTTTCATATGTATGCTATAAGTACATGTTTCTGTTTTTGTAACCTCTCTGGTCTTTTGAAATTATTGTAGAGTGTTGAAAAATATTTAGTGAAAATGCAAACTGTAATACATATCCCTTTGTACACATACTTATATATACCTCCCCACACATACGTTGATATAACTTGCTATACGAAACCTTCTGCTTAACACTTCAGTACCCCTGAATCTTATGTTACACATTTAGAATTGTGCTAAACTTCCATATGTTTGAAGAAGCAATAAAAATATTTTTTTCCTCTTTTTCCAAGAGAAAGATGATGGTTCCATATATGAGTGAGAGGCTGTGTTTACACGTGCATACTCACAACAAGGTAAAACAGTAATTGAAGAAAGATGTAGAAAGGTGTAAGTAAATTATCAAACTACTTTGTTATATATATAGAGGACTTTAAAAGTTTCTCCCTGGTTATATGCTCATTTTTACAAGATTTTGGTCTTATTAAAAGATCAGATGAGAAAAAAATACACAAATGGTACACCTAACAGTGTAACCATTTCCCAAATAGTTGAGATTTTCAAGAAACACTGTGTTGCATAGGGCTGTTCTTGAGGGTAGAACTAAAACCCCAGGTCTCTGAACAGTAATTTTTGTAAGAAAAATACCTTAGGAGGCCACGGTAGAGAGCCTGGTAATTAAAGGAAAACATGAGAGCCCACAATACAGAGGTTAGAGAAGGGTTAATACTAAATATAAGTGCAGGACTGGCCATATAATTTGCAGGGCCCAGTGCAAAATGAAAATTTTTCTCCTTGGCAAAAAATTATTTGGGGTCCCTTGTTAAAAAAAAAAATTACTGAGGATTTCAAGATAGTGAAGTTAGAGCATCAAGTGCAGGGCCTGTGACTACACAGTCACACCCCCATGAGAGCCAGCCCTTGGTAAGAAGTTTAGAGAAGTTCATTAAATACCAATGTGGAGTATAGAAAGCTTAGAGGGAGAATGAATTTATCTAGATATTAGTAACAAGAATTAAGAAGACAGAAAACACAATTAGACCTTTTAATCTTTATTATTCTAGAGGGATAATGACATGCCTTAATACCAAAATCTCTCAAGTGTCAGAAAATTAAAATGACACACTTACAGATTTTTAAGTCTTCCTATGCACACAGTTTCACTAATAAAGCCAGGACAGTTTGTACATTGAGATTAGCCTTTTTAAAAAACTTACATGTCTTCATGTCTTTTAGAAAGGCGAATTTCTTGAGCAAACAGGGACGTCATCTTTAATCAAAGCTGCCTTTATAAGCTTTCTGCTAAGTAATAACATTTAAAGTTACTTCTACCACATGTCCTCAGCTTTGCAACATTTGATCATTCAGCACCTCAATCCACTGGTTCTCTCAGAAGGGAAAAATACAACTTGAGCTATAATAATGTATAAAATGAAAGGAATGCACTTAAAAACACTTCTACTCATGATACATAGTTTTCCATATGCCAGATGCATCCCAGAACACTGTGACACAGGTAAATGCAGCATATTTCCCCTCTTCTTTTTTTACCCACATTTTAACCTTCATCAGAATTCAAAACAAACAAGCAGCTGGTACTAAGACTAGTAAACATTTTACTGAATCAACAGAAAGAAAGAAAGAAAGAAAAAAAAAACCCCACTGTGTAAAATTCAACAGAGGAAAGCGCCTGGGCCAATATAGACAGAGGTCTAGCGAACTACTTGGAAGACTGAGTCTGCAGGCAAATATGGTTGGGTGCAAGAGCTGAAGGTGCCTGCCCAAAGGGAGAATGCAATTTGAGCTGTAATGATGTAATAAAAAAACAGGAATGAAAATTCCTTCTTGGAATGAAGCACTGGCTTTCCTAAATCTTATTTAGTTAATACTGGTTGTCTGCTCACCGCCTGAGTGTCCAGCACTGATTTTTTTTTAAAAAAAACTGAGCCCTTCCTTCACACACACATGGAGCGTACGACACTGAGCACTGCCAAGGGAAACAGAAACACCGTCCTGCCCTCAACGGGTTTCCTCCTCAAGGCGCCGCTCTGTTTTCAGCACCGCGGACAGCAATCACTAACAGGCTCGCCCGGAAGGGGTCGAGTTACAGATACTTTCCGACGAAATCACTGCAGGCCAATCCTCGCCGCCTTCTTCCCAGTTTCGGATGCAGCGTCAAGGAAATTCCTGGAAGTGAGTCCAAAGTAACTTCTTTTCTGTTGCGACCACCATCAGCACTTCACACTAACCCCAAGACAACGTCTGCCGTTTGAACCGAAGATCCGCTGCTTCTAGGAATCATCAGCCCACGGACCGCTCAAATTCCGCGTACACTGGAAGGACTCGGGAACTTTCCTCATCACCCTACCTCTTCCCCCTTAACAGTATCCGCCCCACCAGAGCGCAGCCGTCCTTCGGACACTCGGACACTCGGGGCACTCACCCGCAGGCCGTCCTGCTGTAGGACCTCACTCACTCACTCTCCGAACCCCACACTGACCTCTTCCGGGAGGGCGCCGCCGACTGTGTGGACGTTAGGTCTCTGTGCAGACCTGGGCGTGGCCACGCCACCATCTTTGCGCAAGCACGACGCGACGCGAGGTGATGTCATCACGTCCTTATAAAAGGAGGGCGTCCCTCACCAAAGGCTAGTGAAGTGACGCTTCTCTGAGGAAGTGAAGGTTGGCGGAGGACTTCAGGAACCCCATGGAAAATCCGTTTGGTGGTAGCTCCATTTCAAGCGCTTTTAAAATGGTACCTGCATGTGTTGAAAAGACTTCAGAGAGTGAAAATGGTGTCTTAGAAGCCAGAACATCACAGTAGAATGGGGAAGGGGAAAAACACTTCAGAGTCGTCCAGAGACTTTACAGTCAATTCCACAAGAGCCTAAGGAAGAGCTTCGCGGTGGGCATCTGATGCTGAGCCCGGCAGCAGAGCTCTGCCTGCTTGTAGGGCAGCCCGCATAGGGACAAGCATGCTGATCTTTCACTTCTTGAGGAATTTGTGTATCAGTCGTTGTATTTGCGTGGATGATCTCATTCAGTGAATCCCCACAACGCCTGGTGAGATGGATGCCATTCTCCTAACTTGACAGATGAGGAATCAAGCTTGGTCATTTACGTAAGTTGTAGCTTGAAGCCAGCAGAGCCTCAACAAGAATTCCTGCAGCCCTCAGGACAAACATTTGGGAATAATCCCTTAGTGCATTCTTAAACATCCTTTTCTCCCCTTGAAATAACTTTGTGAGTTACATGGTAGTATCCTGAGTTACAGAGGAAGAAGTTGAGGTTCAAGAGGGGTAATGTTTTCTTCCTGAAGTTTACTGAGTTGGTAAAGGGCAAAGATCTAGGACTCCAATCCAGGTGTTAAATTTTTTTCCTTCCAGAATATCTACGTAAAACTTAGCTCCTGCTTCAGGGCTACTGCACTTCTATGTTTTCTTTGCTTGGAAAGCCCCTTCCCCAGATACTGACATAGACTCAGTTTCTCATCTTTCAGTCCTACTTCCTCAGTGAAGCATTCCCTGAACCTGCAGTATAAGATCGCAAGTCTGTCTCTTCACCCTTCCTCCTCCTCCTCCTGTTTTACTTTTCTCCAGAACACAGCATCATTCCATGTATTTTATAATCCCTTGTTCATTTGTTTACCAGTGCGCCCCCAACTGGAATCTGAACTTCCTTTTTATATTTTTGTCTCTTCTATTTGCTGAGCAACTAGAACTGCCTGACTATAGGTGCTCAGTAGGTATTTTTGAATGAATGGATGAAATAATTCCCCCGTGGTAATTCTGTCATAATTTAAGAGAGGTCTGTCTTTAGTTGCTAGGACTTTTGATTTAGCTGTTTCACGGTGTTACTTAGTAAAGATGAAAAATAGACCTCTGCATGGTCCTGTGTTCTAGGAATGAAATGGAGCTTTGGCACGATTACAAGGCATTCTTGTTTATCTTTTATGGATGTTAACAAATAAGGATTTTGCTTAAATTGGTAATGGGTTGAAGTTGAGAACTGGAAGATGGCCCATTAAAGCATTTGGATGTTGCTGAAGACAAACTACTCATCTCCCTTCTTTATGTGAACTTGCATAGTGACACAATTGGGACAATCCCAGCTCTTTCAACTTTGAGCCCAGCTTCTTTAGGTCATTGCCTGCCTTAGCACTGAACTAAGGAATGAATACCTCAGAAATGTTCTTGCAGTTTTTAGGAGAACAGGAAGCAGGGATATCTCACAGATACTTAGAGATTATCTAGATAGACTGTGATAATTTAGTGATAGCATCCCATAAAAGTATTTCCTCCCTATCTAAAGATCTACAGTGATAGCACCCTTCCTCCTGACATAACCCATGGTTGATCCTTTCTGAGATACCTGGCTGGGGAGGAAGAATCTCTGGCAATTACACAGACTAGCTATTAATGTACAGCTTCTGTATTTATTAGGTAAGTTTAGGTACTTTCTGGAGTGAGGTATTCATGGTCTACCATGAAGATTGTTGTAACCTACTAAGTAACATCTGGCCCATAATGAGGCTTTCTGTAAATATATAGTGAAGTTATTATTTCCTAACCTTAGACTAGTTCTGTGTACTAGCATGCTATAATTGTTCCCTTAGCATTATTATTTAGAAATTATTGGCTCATTTAGTCATAAAGATGTATTTATTAAACATCTATAAGATGTCTCTGCTCTCAACAGCTGAGAATCTGGCTCAGCTCTTAAGATATATGCAAAAACTAGAGGATGATGGTTGACAACATAAAAATGGCTAATGCCTATTGAGTGCTTGCTCTGTACTAGGCACTTTGCATGAATAATCCTCATAATAACCCTATGAGCAAGGATGCCGAACTCTTACTATCTTCCTGTTCATAGCTGAGAAAACTGAGGCGTAGAGAAATGACTGACTTCAGATCACACTGCTAGTAAATGAACTGCGGCTTGTTTGATGTTAGTATTCTAAGTAACTCTGTATATTATATTGAGAATGTGAAGTTAAAATGTATCATACAGATTATGAGAGTGCTAGAAAAGACAGGAGAGACCACTACGAATTGGGATAGTCTAGATGGCATTTTGGGAGACTGAGGTAGAGTTTGAAAAATGGGTGGGATTTGGAAGTCTGTTTTTGTGATTGTGTGTATCAGGTGGCAGGTGAGTTGGGGGTGAAGTCTTCAATGTGAAGGAGGCAGTGGACACAGGAGTGTGTGCTTCAGAACACATCTGGGGTGAGGGCCAGTGGAAAGGAAGCACTGAGAAGAGTGTTTTCTCCTCATTTCCCCCAATTTTGAAGATTTCATTTCTGGTACCAGAGGATGTGAAAATAGAGGATTGACAGTAATAAAGAGAAGGTGTTATTAGAGATGACACCGGTAAGTAGAGAATAGAAATGAGGGCAGAAGAGGCAGGCTTGGGGATGAAAAAGGAAGGACAAGCTTTAGAGTAAGAAATAATTCAAAGAATTGCAGAATCCTTGACAATTTGAAAGACTCCAAATTACTAACAGTAAATTCTATTGTGGTTTGTATAGAGGCCATCTTTTTAGATTCCTTTTGGGTTTACTCTGTGTAGTCAAATATTAAGAAAATAAAGACCTCATATCTGAAATGGAGTTAGTTTTTCTTCTGTTTTGGGAAATCCCAGATGAAATTTGGAAAGTGGGGCTACTTGCCTGTATTTCTGCTTTTCTTCACTTTGAAATAAAATAATTAGAATCTTACCTTTTTCCATAGTTGTAGACTGTCCATTTTACTATGGAAAAATATTCTATTCTCCAAATAGATCTATAATGCTTTAAATTGTCCCCACATGGGTTTTGGCCAGAGAGAACTTACAACGAGATACCTCTTTGGGATCTTTGGTCTGTGACTCAGCTATCAATCTAGGTCCAATCAGATAAAACTCTGCAGTCTAGAAATCATGATCACAGCTGGCACCTATGTTGTAGATGTTCTTCGCTGGGAGAACAAGGCCATCCTAGAGATTTCCAGTGAACATTTGCATATGACTTTTCCTTCTAGGGGGGCAAGTTAAAAACCTCAGCAGTCCTAAAATTCACTTGAGGAAGCATTTGAATTTTAAAGTTGACAGCACACGTGATAATTCTTAGCAGATCATTTGTATGTTGTATACGTAGAAATATATATACTCGTTACTTCCCAAGTTTTAGTAATTCAAAGTTCATGCAAGCCTTCTGTCTTAAACTGACATGCTTGCAGCTGTGTATAATTTATAAAGGCCTTTTTTTTTTTCAGTCCTGTCTCCTTGATTTCCCAGCGACTTTTAATTCATTCATTAGTTTCACTATAACTCTTTAACTTGGGTTTTTCTTTTCTTTTCTTAATGAAAAGCAGTTTACTTTTTTATTTTTAAAGCAAAATAAAAATCCAAAGTATGCAATTCTTTCACTTTTCAAGCTAGGGACCAGGAACATAAAATTCTATTCAATAAAAATATCATGGTAGTGAAAATGCAACATCTATAAAGAGGTCTCATTTTCCTTATCTATTTTTTTTGAAGCAGAAGAACAAAAAGTAAGAGGTGATCTGGAGTTTTAAAGAAGGGAAACTTTTTGAACTTTTAAAGAAGAGTAAACATTTCTAGGTTTTTAAAAAGCAATGTTGTAGTTCTAGCCTGAAGCCTGGAACCACATGAATCATTGAAGTCCTTTCTATTCCTCACTCTTGATGGGAAAAGAAAAAATAACAAACCCTTATTTCTTTTTTTAAAATAAATTTATTTGGTTGCATCAGGTCTTAGTTGCAGCATGTGGGCGCCTTAGTTGCAGCTTGAGGGCTCCTTAGTTGTGGCTCACCTCCTTGGTTGTGGGATGTGAACTGTTAGTTGCGGCACGCGTGTGGGATCTAGTTCGTGGACCAGGGATCGAATCCGGGCCCCCTGCATTGGGAGTGCAGAGTCTTAACCGCTGCGCCACCAGGGAAGTTCCCCCTTATTTCTTTCTATGAAATTTGGGGGTGCAATGGAAGGGTCATATTTCCTTTTATCTATTTCCATGATGTCATATCTCTTGTGTTCTTTAGGGTAGCGTGACTGAAAGTGTTTAGAGTTGTGCTACATTTTCATGGCTTGGGCATTTAGTATCAAGGGGGCTAGTGAACCAGATGACGTTTAGACAAGTTCTGGGTCATGTCAGTGAACCAGAGGTTCCCCCACTCTAGGAACAATAAGGCAAAACAATGTCTGATATTCTTTGCAGGCAGTTCTATTTGAAACTCCCCCAAAGCAATGTTTTGTGACTGCCATTCTTGTCTATCTTGAGCCCCTCTTTTTTTTGTCTTGGTGAAATATTTTATTCTTTTTGTTAAAATTTTTATTGGAGTATAGTTGCTTTACAATGTTGTGTTAGTTTCAGGTGTATCAGTTATACATATACATATACATATATCCATTCTTCTTTAGATTCCTTTCCCATATAGGCTATTACACAGTATTGAGTAGAGTTCTAACTTGGGTTTTTCTTGAAGCAGGGATTCTCTCTTTCATAACCTTCCTTCCTGTTTATTTTCTCCACTCCCCCCACCCCCCATTTTGCTCTTATAAATC